TGAACTGGGTCTCGCTCTCCAGCTACCCATCTGCTAACAAAAGACAAGACTGGGCAGGTGGAAAGAGGGTGCACAAGAATCCAGAATTCCCTGGAAGGACATGCCTATGACAAAAAGGGCTCTCAGAAAGGGTCAGGAAACTGAGGCAGGGTCTTGCATGCAGTTATATATATGCAGCTATACATAGCTCTGTATATCTACTGTGCTGTAGCTGTGTTTAAAAGTGCCTTTACAAAGTCTCTGTGTTACTTCCTTTAACTGTCACAAACTCTCCGAAGGGTGAGACAGTAACCCAGAGTACCCACAAGGGTGGAGTTGTGCAGGTGTGCTTAAACTCCTGGGGAAACTTGGGGTCTAGGGAAGCTACTGTCCCATGCCCTGAGAAGGGAAACCAGGAGTTGGAGTTTGTATCTCATGAGCGCATTTAAGAGCCAGACCTGGAGACAGTGCCTGAATTCTGTTCAGATTACAGAGTAGCAGCCGTGTTAGTCTGTATTCGCAAAAAGAAAAGGAGTACTAGTGGCACCTTAGAGACTAACCAATTTATTTGAGCATAAGCTTTCATAAGCTACAGCTCACTTCATCGGATGCATTCAGTGGAAAATACAGTGAGATTTATATACACACAGAACATGAAAAAATGGGTGTTATCATACACACTGTAAGGAGAGTGATCACTTAAGATGAGCTATTACCAGCAGGAGAGCAGGGGGTGGGGGGGAGAAAACCTTTTGTAGAGATAATCAAGGTGGGTCATTTCCAGCAGTTAACAGGAACATCTGAGGAACAGTGAGGGCGGGGGGTGGTCTACAGCCAAGCTCTGCGATACAACCGCATTTGCTCCAACCCCTCAGACAGAGAGAAACACCTACAAGATCTCTATCAAGCATTCTTACAACTACAATACCCACCTGCTGAAGAGAAGGAACAAATTGACAGAGCCAGAAGAGTACCCAGGAGTCACCTACTACAGGACAGGCCCAACAAAAATAACAACAGAACGCCACTAGCCATCACCTTCAGCCCCCAACTTAAACCTCTCCCACACATCATCAAGGATCTACAACCTATCCTGAAGGACGACCCATCACTCTCACAAATCTTGGGAGACAGGCCAGTCCTTGCGTACAGACAGCCCCCCAACCTGAAGCAAATACTCACCAGCAACCACACACCACACAACAGAACCACTAACCCAGGAAACTATCCTTGCAACAAAGCCCATTGCCAACTGTGTCCACATATCTATTCAGGGGACACCATCACAGGGCCTAATCACATCAGCCACACTATCAGAGGCTCGTTCACCTGCACATCTACCAATGTGATATATGCCATCATGTGCCAGCAATGCCCCTCTGCCATGTACATTGGTCAAACTGGACAGTCTCTACGTAAAAGAATAAATGGACACAAATCAGACGTCAAGAATTATAACATTCAAAAACCAGTCAGAGAACACTTCAATCTCTCTGGTCACTCAATTTCTGATCTAAAAGTTGCAATTCTTCAACAAAAAAAATTCAAAAACAGACTCCAACGAGAGACTGCTGAATTGGAATTAATTTGCAAACTGGATACAATTAACTTAGGCTTGAATAGAGACTGGGAGTGGATGGGTCATTACACAAAGTAAAACTATTTCCCCATGTTTATTCCCCACCCTCCCTCCCCCCACTGTTCCTCAGATGTTCTTGTCAACTGCTGGAAATGGCCCACCTTGATTATCACTACAAAAGGTTCCCCCCCCCCCTCCTGGTGTTAATAGCTCACCTTAAGTGATCACTCTCCTTACAGTAAAAAGAAAAGGAGTACTTGTGGCACCTTAGAGACTAACCAATTTATTTGAGCATAAGCTTTCATGAGCTACAGCTCACTGCATCCAATGAAGTGAGCTGTAGCTCACGAAAGCTTATGCTCAAATAAATTGGTTAGTCTCTATGGTGCCACAAGTACTCCTTTTCTTTTTGCGAATACAGACTAACACGGCTGTTACTCTGAAACCTCTCCTTACAGTGTGTATAACACCCATTTTTTCATGTTCTGTGTGTATATAAATCTCCTCACTGTATTTTCCACTGAATGCATCCGATGAAGTGAGCTGTAGCTCACGAAAGCTTATGCGCAAATAAATTGGTTAGTCTCTAAGGTGCCACTAGTACTCCTTTTCTTTCTGTTCAGATTAGTAAACTTAAAAGCTCATGGGATCCAAAGCTTTGGATCCCAAACAGCAGCCTGGTGACCATCCAGAAGGGGGAGTCAGTCTGGGCTGTCACAGAGTCATTATAGTGTTGTGTTTGCAAATTGATGCTGCTCAGAAGCATGTGTCAGCCTTTCCAATGTATTTAGTAAAGTTGGTAGAATAATGGAGAGTCACCTATATATTCACAATTAAACTACTCAAATTTGATTAACAGCTATTTGTGAGGTCATGCCATTCATTATTTGAAAATATTTGTATAACTACCAGCACTCACTAAATGTTTGCAAACCTTGAGACTCCATGTCTTCCTTCTGAGACCCCAGGTCAAAAACAACCCAATTTGAAAAGTAATTTGCCCAAACTATAAGGCCAATATTTACAAATATCAAATACAACCAGTGCCATCTGGAATGATTCATGAATAATGTCTACACCAAAGTAGGCCTAAATTGGTTGAGTTTTTGTCCCAATAAATACAGTTTTAACCAGTTGTAACATTTATGTCTGTATTAAGCTTTGCCAGAAAAATCCTTTCAGAATGAAGCTTTGTGCATATCTTTCAGCTAAAAAACAACAAAAAACAAAATCCTTTGTTTTGAAAAATGTAGCTGGATGCAATTTTTATATTTATAAATGTAAACACTGAAAAGTGCACACTAAAAAAAAAAATCGTAATCATTGGACCTAGTTCTTATTTTTACCAGTTTGTTAGCCATTGCTTTAATATGCAGTAACTCATGCAGTTGTTTTGTTTCAGTTTCCAGACTCAGCAAACACCATAGCAGGAGGACTGGAAGGAGACTTTCTACATAGAACAAGTGCCAAGGAAGGTCAACATTCTGATCTAACAGCCTTTACAGTAGCATCTTAAATGCACACTAGTGCAAGCTGTGCACGGGCACTCATGTTAATTTCAAAGGTGGGATCAAAAATCTGATGATGAACATAAGTAGTATGAATATCAGCTGCCTAAAAAGACCACTGCCCTGTTAAAATACACACAACTATGTGAGGTCCAGTGCATTCCCCTTTCCCATCTGTGATGTCATCTGATTAATATATGACCTTATAGATCATTGTTGCTACCACTGTTACACAATTGCAACAAAGGTTGTGCAAAAGTATGTCATGTAAGGTGTCTATGAAAAAGATATGGTTTGCTGAATATGATTATCCTATTTGCATGTATGTATGCATGCATCATTTTTTTTTATCTGAAGTTATTATGAATATTGACTCTATGCCTGTATTTCAAATGTGTTTGCTTCTGTGGTCACACCCACAAGGCAGCTTATTTCTAGTTTGGCCAGCACATTGTAAAGGGATTATTCAAGTTGAATAGCCCATCAAAGAACAGTTAACTCACAATGGACCATAAGGCTTATCCCTACCTGATGGCCCTTCCTGTGCACATTCTAGCTAGAATATGGGTAATGGCCTCTGCTATGACTCAGCGAAGCATGCAATGGCATGTGACCAAATCATGTGACCCTAAACTCCATCTTCTTATCTGGATTTTTCCATAAACTGTGCTAAGGGCTTTGTTTGGAACAATGGGTTTCTCTCCACATGGCAGAAGCTATAAAAGGCCCTGAAAACATCTCCATTTTGCCTCTTTCCTACTTTAACCTCTGGACTACGGACTTATACTAATGGGAGCATTTTAACCAAGGGCCTGAGGACCTTCCAAATCATTTGGAAGCAACCAGAAACTTAACAAACCAGTGGTTTATTTCATCACTGCTTCAAGCCTGAACTAAGACTTTTGCAATTATTGTATGTTTTTGATTTCTTTAACCAACTTTAAATCTCACCTTTCTTTATTTTTATAAATAAACCTTTAGATTTTAGATACTAAAGGATTGGCAACGGCGTGATTATTGGGTAAGATCTGAGTTATATATTGTCCTGGGTGTGTGGCTTGTCCTTTGGGATCAGCAGAACCGTTTTGTTTGATAAAATCAATTTTAAATAACCACTCATCATTAAGTCTAGTGTCTGGGTGTTAAACCCAGGACTGGAATTCCTAAGGAGGCTGCATTCCTGACTTCTTGTTAACCAGTGTGATGAGACAGAAGTTTACTTTTGTTGCTGGTTTGGTATATCTTATGGAAGAATTACCACCAATTTTGGGGTATGGTTGCCCTATTTCTCAGCAGCTTGTCCTGAATTTAGTATTCTCAATTGCGACCCACTGAAGCACAGTGACACCACCTTAATAAATTAAAAGAAAACAGACCAAAAACTTTTCTAGTGGCCTCACATCCTTTACACTTCCAAGCTGGTTTCTACAAAGCAGGAGCCCTGAACTACCAATGTTATCTGCTGATGACAGATGCAAGCCCCAAAATTTTGGAGAGAAAAAAAAAAAGTCGTCGTCCTTGTATTGTCCCCCTTCCACCCACCAAGGATTCCATTCCAACCACTTCCCTTCTCATCTGATTCCTACTGCCTCTCACATCCCTTCCACATCCTGTGCCATTCAGCATATGGCTAGAACTGTTAGCTGCCTAGTAAGGAGTTTTGTACTATTTCTGCCTGGTACCCATCAGGTCAGGATTAAGACAATTTGCCACAGAAATCTTTCTTTGCACATTTCCTAGTGTGTGTGAATTCAGTCTTAGTATGCAACTTACTTTAGCAGAATCTATAATAAATTCTTCCAACCGACCCCAGAAATTATGTTCTGACCATTTCAGTGGCTACAACGTTTTGCCATTGCTTGCTGGATTAAGAATACCAATTGTTTCTTTAGCCCATTTTAGAAAGCATAGCCTCAAATTTATAAAGGTCTTACCTGATTAAGTTCTGGCATATCTGGCATCGTGCAGGACATCTGGAGGAATATAGATCAATAAAACAGTGTGTTATTATATACAAGAAAACATCTGTAATTTGATGTATTAAATACTGGGTAATAAAAAGACGTATGAAAAAAATTCTAAACAATGGTATTGAAACTTGTGTATAGACTGTAGTCATCATCTGAAGATTTGTTCGAAAAGCTCAGTGTTTTATTTGGAATTTTAACTGTTATACTATTAGTATTTCATAGCTGAAGTCATCATCCTAATAAGGCATTAACCAGTTTAGTCTCTTGAGGACTGGAATGCTTTAATCTAACCCAAGTTATTGAGATAACTGGGTAAAATTTAATGGCCTGTGACACACAGGATGTCAGACTACATCATCTAATGGCTCCTTCTGGTCTTAAACTATATGAAACCATGAATTATCATTGTTTATTGAGCACCATCAATGCACTCAGAATTATATGATCATAGTACTACCCCCAAGAAGTTTACAATTTTAGGATCCGATCCTACAGGCCTTATTTAGTTAAAGCTACCACTTTAGTCATAAAGCTTGCGAGGGAAAAAAAATGTTTGTTTTGTTCATTCCTCAAATGAGGGTTGAAGCATTTTAATTTTTGACTCTTTCCAGTGTTCTATGGAAGAACAACATGATTCAGCTCACTCCTCAAGACAGAGACCTGCTGATAGGGATACTGGGATTAACAGTAGCTTCTCTTCTTCTATTTAGAGCAGGTTCTACCTTACTGTTTGACACAAGGTCACATTTTTGGAGTAGGAAGGAGAATTTCCACGTACCAGTAATGCAGTTCTATGAACTGCATCTCACATGGAGGCTCAGCCACATTTTCAGCTACCAGACTTAGAGCTACATGTCTGAAAGTCCAGAAGGGTCAACAGCTTCCAGTTTTGGTTTGCAACAAACAAACAATGTGGCTGTCATCACTTTACAAGTGTGTTGACAGAACTGTCTATGAAACAATTAATGAATGACAGTGCAGTCCTATCATGGTTATGACTTTTACTGGCCATCAAAAAGTGACTAAATCCTCTCCTATATATAACAGCATCTATTCTACACAATCTGTGCCTTCCTTAATATTTAAACAAAACATTGGTGTGAGCTTCTAACTGCATTGCAGCAGTGGACATGCCGCCCTCATGTAATTGTGGCACTGCAAAACTGTAAGAACAGCATCCACAGTATCCCTATAACATCTATCAGTTCTCTTTCAAGGTAACAAAAATAAAACCAAAACCACAACTATACCTGTGAGGATCTTTTGAGCTGGGTATGACTTTTGCACACTCTCTTTTATTGAAGACTTCTTCAATCCATGATTTCTGAGACTGAAAAATAATGCCAAACAGAATTACAGTTCTGTACCTCAGAAAGCAAAATAAATAGTGACTACATAATTTCTACAGTGCAGGACCCGTAAAAAAATCTCAGAATGCTTTATACAATGATATGTGTGCAGTGTAGTTATAGCAATTTAGGTCCCTGGATATTAGAGACTAGGCGGGTGACGTAACTTCTTTTATTGGACCAACAGAAGTTGTTCCAATAGAAGTTATTACCTCACCCATCTTGTCCCTCTGTTACACTATGACGTCAGGAAACCAAATGCCAATTAACATTATCAAGGAGCCCAAATGAAAACCCTGAATCAGAACAACCCCAACACCTCACTCCCAAACTTAGAGGCATTCTATCTGAACCTGAATTTGGTAGTTTGGGTCCATCTCTTATTAATAAATGTGAAAGCTCACTCAGGGGAGGTTTAAGACTTACTTATAGCAGATGAAGTATCTAGGACAACCCAGAACTGAGGGGAGATAAGAAATAAATGTTGATCTGTCAGTATCCTCCTCCTTCTGGATTATATATGTTAAATGTCTAGTATGTGGCTATCTTATTAAAGATGGAGGATTGCATTTTCTTCTTTTATAGATGAATATTAAGAATTGCAGTTGTCCCAGTTAAACATTTACTGATATGAAACTACAGAGAAATGCTGAAAAAGGCCTCTCCAAGGAGTTGATCCAACCTTTACTGAAGTCAACCAGAGTCCTTCCATTGGATAAGGCCCCTAGAGAAGGGCTATAAAATTGAGTGAGTTAGAAATGTACTGTGCTATGGATACTTCTCATGAAATCTCCCCAGGATTTTTTTTTTCCAATCACATGATTTATTTCAAGACCAAATAAATCATCATCTCATGCTAAACTTCACTCTTCTGTCACTTTGCTTTTGGTACTTTTAGTTCCCTATCCCCCATCTACACAATGTCAATCTAGACAATTAAATGTTCAGGGCAATGATCTGTCTTCATACTTACAGTATTCATAAAGGGCCTATCACACTCTAAGAGCTATGTAAAATAGTAAATAATAAAAACAAATGAGAATGCCAGTAATTCAATTACTAGATTATACTATTTGGAGTCTTATAAGAAGAGTTCTGTTAGAACCCAGAATAATCTTCTTCAGCTTGTTTGATTAAGCATCATATTTCCACTAATCAGGCAAGTGGTTTTTTTTAATTCACCTCCAAATCCTAAAATATTTTCATTCCAAATCGATGGCTGTTGATTTGACTGATGTACAGAACATCAAGAGCTGTGTAAAATGTGGTGTAAAAATGTCTAAAAGGTCCCCTTTTGACTCCCCTTGAAAGCAATGGGATTCTTTCCTTTGAATAATAAGAGCCACATGAGGAACTTACTAATATTAGAGTTTGTAAGAAAATAGATTTCTTATAATGATTTCTGTGTATATTCATCTGGGAACTACTGCATTTAATTGAGGCTAGTTATATCTTAGAAAGATTATGAATGGGAAAGATAATCCTCAGAGTTTGATAGGAGCTCAAAAACACACAGGAATATTAATAATTTCAGAAAGAAATTCATGGACTACAAATTTTAAAAAGAAGGCATAGAAATGCAGTTCAGGGGAAATGTTGAGTAGGAGCTGCATGGACTAGTTTCATTATTTGATAGCAGGTTTTGTATATACATTTCTCAGAAACCATTTGGACACATTCCTATTAGGAGCCATTACTCCTTCATGCCTCCCAAACAACTCCATCCTTATTTCTTGAGCAGTCAAGCAAAAAATTGAATTGACACCATTATAGCATACGGGGCTTCCAAAAATCTACCACTGTGGATTCTAAGCCTATCAAAAGTGGCAGAGAACAGCATGTCCATTAATTTTACTCACTGCCTTGAGGAAGAATTCATTTTGCTGAACTTGTTAATTAAAATGACTATGTTAGGGTGACCCAGTAGCTCTTTGATTAGTGCTGCACAGTACAACATGAGAGATCTGGACTCAATCTCATGCTCTCTTGGTGGGCACCACCTAGAAGCCCTGATAAAGCCAACAGGGGAAGAAAATGGAAGAGAAAAAGGAGTTGAGGAGAGCTGGCCATTGCTCAAAGACACAATATTAAAAAGGCACCACAGCAAGCTATCCTGATGCAACGGAAAGATAGGAAGAATAGTAAGAGGCCAATATGGCTCCATTAGGAGCTCTTTAATTACCTGAAAATCAAAAAGGAATCCTACAAAAAGTGGAAACATGGACAAATTGCTAAGGATGATACAAAAGAATAGCATGAGCACCTACAGATAAAATCAGAAAGGCTAACGCACAAAATAAGTTACATCTAGCAAGGGACAAAAGACAAGAAGAGGGTTTATAAATTCATTAGGAGCAAAAGAAAGATGGGTTCAGTACTGTTCAATAATGTTTATAATGACTTGGATAATGGAGTGGAGATATGCTTATAAAATTGGTAGATGACACCACGCTGTGAGGGGTTGTAAGCATTTTGGAGGACAGAATTAGAATTCAAAAGGAGAACTGATCTGAAATCAACAAGATAAAATTCACTAAAAACAAGTGCAAAGTACTACCCATAGGAAGGAAAAACATCCATCTCACAAATACAAATCTGGGAATAACTGTCTAGGCAGTAGTGCTGCAGAAAAGGATCTGGTGGTTATAGAGGATCACAAATTGAGTATGAGCCAAGAATGTGATGCAGTTGCAAAAAAAACTAATATTTTAGTGTGTATCAGGACTGTTGTGTCTAAGACAAGGATGGTAATTGTTCCTCTCTACTCAGCACTGGTGAAGCCTCAGCTGAAGTGTTGTATGCAGTTTTGGAAGGCACACTTCAGAAAAGATATGGACAAACTGGAAAGAGTCTACAGGAGAACAACAAAAATTATCAGAGATTTAGAAAAACTAACATATGAGGAAAGGTTAAAAATGCGAGATACGTTCAGTCTTAAAGAAAGATGACAGAGGGAAACTGATAAGTTTTCAATATATTAAAGAAGATGGTGATCAATTGTTCTCCATGTCCACTGAAGGTAGGACAAAAGATAATCAACTTAACCTGCAGCAAGGGAAATTTAGGTTAGATATTAGGAAAAACTTTAAGGATAGTTAAATGCTAGAATAGGTTATGATGGAAGGTTGTGGAATCCCCATCACTGGAGGTTTTAAAGGACAGGTTAGATGAAACCTGGCTCAACACAGGGGGATAGAGTCGATAACTAATTGAGGTCCCTTCCTCCCCTATATTTCTATGCTCAGCCCTGAGAGACAGATGAGATCCTAATCTGCTTTCACTTCAATCTACGAGCAGCACTAATAGGTCATAAGAATAATTGTCCTCTTTGAGATCAAGAGATTAGTAACTCAAGGTGTCAGGTGACTTTCCTTAGGCTACACTATTTCCAGGTATTACCAGACTTTTTTTTTTTTATTTCCCAAAGGCATTCCCTTAGTTGGAATACTATGGTCCAGCTGTCAGATCCAGCTCTATAGCATGTAGTTCTAGTAGAGATCAAGTGTACTCAAATCATCCATAGACGTCTTGCTCCTGGGGGCATCTGCGCCAAAAAGTTAAAAATTATGTGCACAATATTTTAAAATTCTGCAAATTTTATTTGTGAAAATAACACTACATAATCACACCAGTTTCAATTATTTTGGCAATTTATTTCAAAATACCTTTCAGCAAGTATGTCTGAAACAATACAGACAAACACAAAAATTCCTCCAGGAGTAGAGAGTTAAAGAAACCCCTATGACAACCAAGTTCCTGTTTCTCTGCACCCTTCTCTCCCCCCAGAGCCCAGCCAGGGCCAGACACCTACAACCCCTCCCCCGCCCCCCGGCCAAAGCCCCTGCCAAGGTACCCCCCAGCCAATACACCCAAACCGCCTCCCCCTCACCAAGCCCAGCCGCGGGTGCCCCCATTGCCCAGATACCTGCACCCCCTTTCCCCCAAAAGCCCAGGGATCCAGAGGGAGAAACAGCCTAATGCTTGGTCTCAGGCTTGTATGGAGTTTCCTGCACGCTGCTGTCTAACTTCCCTCAGGGTGTGCTGTGAACTGAAACTGCCAGGAACCCTCTAGCTCTCTCCCCCTGGCAGCGTCTTCTATGTGTGAGCTGGGCTCTGCCTGGTTAAGCAACCTCTAGTGGCAGCCAGCAGTATTGCGGCCTATTTCTGTGAGGCGGAAAGGAAATTGTGTGTGCACGTTAATTTCTGCAAAATTTTGCATGGCACAGTGGCACAGAATTCCCTCAGGAGTAACGCCCCTGCCCCTAAAGATCACAATATTTATAAACAGAGCTTTGGATGCAGGCTGGGGCCCGAAAGAGAATGGTATCAGGAGAAGTTTTGCCTGCCTAACTTTAAATTCTTCTTCATTGCCTTACACAATGCAAGTGATAACATATGCTATTAAGTTTAGAAAAAGAGTAAGGAAAAGACCAAACACCACATCATAGCCATTTGGTGAAATGTTCAAAGCCAAAGGACAACTTTCAGTTTCACATTGTCCGGAAGCATAGAAAGAAAAAGGAGAATGAGTTTGTGTGTGTGGTTTTTAGAGGGGGGTGGGAGGGTGAGAAAACCTGGATTTGTGCTGGAAATGGCCCACCTTGATTATCATACACATTTTAAAGAGAGTGGTCACTTTGGATGGGCTATTACCAGCAGGAGAGTGAGTTTGTGTGGGGCAGGGCGGAGGGTGAGAAAACCTGGATTTGTGCTGGAAATGGCCCAACTTGATGATCACTTTAGATAAGCTATTACCAGCAGGAGAGTGGGGTGGGAGGAGGTATTGTTTCATGGTCTCTGTGTATATAATGTCTTCTGCAGTTTCCACAGTATGCATCCGATGAAGTGAGCTGTAGCTCACGAAAGCTCATGCTCAAATAAATTGGTTAGTCTCTAAGGTGCCACAAGTACTCCTTTTCTTTTTGCGAATACAGACTAACACGGCTGTTACTCTGAAAGAAAATGCATTAGACAAGGTAACTATATGTAGTTTTCCTTATTTTTCTGTATTTCTTACTATCAGCTTTTCGTACCACCTGTGACGGGTTCAGTCACAGAGACCCCCTTGGGACTATCACCTGATGTGCTGAAACTACCTCTGAGACAGTTTTCTTGGTCACCTTGGGACTCCATAACCCTGTCTTTGTTGAGCCAGACACGCAAGCCTGCTGCAACACAGACCCAGGGTCTGAACCACACCCCCAAATCTGCAAACTTAACTGGAAACAGCTCAGCAAGTACTCCTGTCTCCAGCACCCAGACACCCAGCTCTCAATGGGATCCAAACCCCAAATAAATCAATTTTACTCTGTATAAAGCTTACACAGGGTATACTCATAAATTTCCGCCCTCTATAACACTGATAGAGAGATATGCACAGCTGGTTGCTCCCCCAGGTATTAATCACTTACTCTGGGTTCATTAATAAACAAAAGTGATTTTATTAAGTTTAAAAGGTAGGATTTAAGTGGTCTCAAGTAATAACAGACAGAACAAAATAAGTTACCAAGCAAAATAAAACAAAACACGCAAGTCTATGCCTAATACATTAAGAAACTTAATACAGGTAAATCTCACCCTTAGAGATGTTCCAATAAGCGTCTTTCACAGACTAGACGCCTTCCTATTCTTGGCCCAAGCCTTTCCCCGCTACAGACCTTTAGTTCCAGCTCAAGTGGTAACTTGGGGATTTCTCATGACTGGCAGCCCCCTTTGTTCTGTTCCACCCCCTTTTATAACTTTGGCACAAGGCGGGAATCTTATTTCTCTGGGTTCCCACCCCTCCTTCTAAATGGAAAAGCACCAGGTTAAAGATGGAATCCAGTACCAGGTGACATGGTCACATGTCCTGTGAGACCCCAAGCCTTCATGCTCCACAGCCTGACTCACAGGAATGCAGGAAAGCTTGCAAGTAAACAGAGCCTTTTACAACCAATTGTCCCAGTCAATGGGAGCCATCAAGATTCTAAACCACAATCAATGGCCCACATTTTGCATAATTACAATAGGACTTCAGAATTATATTTCATATTTAAGAATGATACATACATACAAATACGATGAACACACTCAGTAGATTATAAACTTTGTAATGATACCTTACAAGAGACCTTTTGCATGAAGCATATTCCAGTTACATTATATTCACACTCATCAGCATATTTCCATAAAACATATGGAGTGCAACGTCACACCACCAACCCATTCTGAACTAGCATTAGATTTGTACATCTCTTAAAAAAAAAAAAAAAGAAGGTAAAGATAGACACCAGATGTTCTGGGTACTTCCCATGGCATATTTGCATTCCTTTAATACACAGCCAGTTTTTCCTGTGATTAAAACAATAATGGCAATAATCACCCCATAAAACTTAATCCTTAGGTAGCTGACCACACTAATTCTAATCACAATGAGCCAAGCCTGAAGATATCAATAGAAAAAAATCTTATTGACGTCAATGCACTTTGGATCAGGCCCTAAAGACACAATCCTGCTTCAGTTAAGGTCAATGGTACAATTCCCATTTACTTCAATAATGCAGGATCAATGAATTTCCTTCTAAAGCTGGGGACACCGTCAGAGGGTATACGATTCCCAGAGTCTGCACCAACCCCTACAGCATCGTTCACATCTCTTGTTTAATTCTACGTCAGAACTCTTAATAGCTTCTCCTAAACCATTCACTAGTACCTCTCAATAATACATTTCAAATTGTACACAATTTCAAACTGGATTGAGGGAATAAGTAAGTTTCCCCTTGCACCAGAAAGGAGCAGGAAAGAATTGAAAATTCGTCCCTACAAATATTTCTACATTATTTAATTTTTCTTCATGGGAGGAAATGGTCAGGCCTTTCTACAGAATTTAAATATATATAGTTGTGTTATTTCCATGTTGGACACAGCTATGATAGGCAACAATTAAAAGGTTTGCGTTGCAGGACCACATGTATTCATGTTTAAGAAGTCTGATTAAAACAAAATGCAATAACTCTGAACTTGTGAGGCTATTATCTTCACATCAGAATAAGATTAATTAAACTACATGCAGTACACGTTTTGTGATGTTCTGATGCTCGTGAGACACTGTCTAGTTCCTTAGACAGTGATATAAACAAAAATCACAACAAACCAAATAAGTAAATATAACCAAACCAAAATTGGGAAAAATAAAATATAGGTTTGCAACTATCCTTCTCAGTGAAGGTGAGCTCCCTAGTTCCTGCACTAAAGGAGATGGAAAATATTGATTATTTTCATTTACAGCCAGATTCTCAGCTGGCATTAATAGTCTCTGCCAAGTTACACTAGCTAAGGATCTGGCCCGTAACATTTACTGAGCTCTGTTTCTTAAGTTAATGCTTTGATGAGGCATCTAGACTTGCACTGAGTGATCAGCAAGAAGGATTAGCTAGAGAATCCTGCATGTATTTTACAATTGAGTAAGGACTGCAGGATTTGGCAGCTAGAATTTAAAAACATTATTTCTCATTGTAATTAATTATTTAACACACACTTACAGCTGGCTCCCATACTACTAGCAAGGTGCAAAGGCACTAAATTTAGATCAAGAAATGCTGACTAATTCACTATATTTTCAAATATGTCAGTCTATGATAAAAAGTGGTGCTTACTTTATTAATTTTCAGATTGGTAGTTTGAAAGCAAGTGCAGTTTTCATTGCTGCCTGAGTATTCCATCAAATCCTGCCTGAGTATTCCATCTGAAATCATAGGGCTACTCCTATAAAAACAAGGAAAGCAGGATTTGGCCCTCGGTCTATAATTTATATCAGTATTTCCAGATTATGAGTTTTCTGCAAATTTGGATAGGTGTATATATATATATAAAATTAATTGTTACAGGTCACACTGCTTTGGAGTGATTGTGTAGTTTTCTGTGTAGTCAAAATGCAATCAGGGCCTGGGGTATTGATGCTTTGGGCATAGAGTTCAACTATTCAGCTAGCCAGTAATATGCTTGCTTCTTCTAAAGTCAAAATCTTGTTCAAGGTGGCTATTCACAAAGCCCCAAATGCTCTTTCCTTGATGAAGTCAATAATATAAAGAGATTCCAATCAATACACGCTATTTTTGAAGCTACTTCTATACAGCTGTTTGGACAACCTGGATTTTTACCAAGATGTCTTAAATTAAACATGAGCTATCCATCTACTGTTCCTAGAAGAACTGGGCTCCACCAGATAGTTCAAAGTTATCTTTATTCAGCAATTTTACATATAGTTTCTGGGTGAGCCTTACATAGGCCAATAAAAATGAAACAATGTTAAATATCACTATCACTTTATTGTCTGTATTATAAAACACGTTTTGTATGTGTATGCTTTTCAAATAAAGTTTACCAATAAACATTGTGTGTTTGTTTTTTCTTTGCTCATTAGTCACAGCTTTCTATTATCATAGTCAGCATTCTTCATGCCAAATTCTGTTCGTTTCACTTTCTTTAGTCCCGTGGTTTTCAAACTATTGTCCATGGACCCCTAGGGGTCCACAGACTATGTCTAAGATCTCCAAAGGGGTCTGCACCTCCATTTGAAAATTTTTAGGGTCAGAAAATGAAAAAAAAAAAAAGGTTAAAAATCACAGCTGTAGTATCCAGTGAAGTCCATAATACACCCCACATGATGTTTAAAATACTGTTGTGCTCTAAACATTGACAATGAGGAAACTGGCACCATCTTTTTTCTCAAAAGATTTGTTCTTTGTGTGTATTCAGAGTCATACTGAATCTTCATTTCTTAATGACAAAACCATTTCAACAAAGACCTTTCTTCCTTCTTTCACCTGACACCTGCAGGATCCCACCTCTGTCCTCATGGACGGCGGCAGAGGGTAGGAAATCCTTCCTGTCTCCAGGAAGCAACCCTGGCAACCCTGGGGTGTGGGGCTTATAGAGAGCGAGAGTAGGAGATGGATAAGGAGTCATGGGAATTGTTTAACTTCTGGGTTGTTTTTTTTGTTTTTAAATAAAAACAGGAGTTCATAAGACTTATAGGTGGCT